CAATATACTAATATGGATTCTTATTTCAGAAGTTTTGATTTCCCTCTTAAATGTTTTTACATTTCAATAAGCTTTAGATTCTGTCATTTCACCTGCCTAGTAGATGAAGGGAAGGTAGTGAGTATAGTTTTTCTGGATTTTATTAAGGTTTTTAGTACTGACCCTCACAGCATCCTTCTGGACAAGTTGTCTGACTGTGAAGTGAGCAGGCAAATGGTGTGCTGTAAGCACTGACTGAAGGGCAAGGCTCAAAAGCTTATAGGGGATGGAGCTACATCTGGCTGGAGACCAGACACCACTGGTGCTCCCGAGGGCTCAATCCTGGAGCCAGTTCTGTTCAGTATTTGTATCAGTGATATGGAGGAAGGAGTTGAATGCATGTTTACTGATGACACTGAACTGAGAGGTGCTGTTGACTCTCTTGAGGGATGAGACCTTGCAGAGGGATCTTGGTAGATTGGAGTGGTGAATAATCGTCAGTGGCATGAAATTGAACAAGAACAAATGCCAGATTCTGCGCCTGGGATGGAGTAATACCTTCCATAAGTACAAGTTGGGAGAGGCTGGAGAGCAGCCCCACATAAAGGGATCTGGAGGTGCTATCTAACAGCAGGCTTAACACAGGAGGTCAGTCTGGCAAACCACATCTTGGGATGCCTCAAACACAGCACAACCAGGTGGCCAAAAGAGGTGATCATCCCACTGTATTTAGCACTGATGCAATGTCATGTTGAGTGCTGTGACCAGTTCTGGGCCCTAAAGTTTAAAAAGGATGTGAAGGTCCTTGAATGTGTCTAAGAGGAGGGCACTGAAGCTGGCAAAACTGCAGGAAGACACGTCCTGTGCGAAGCAACTGAAGACACAGGGTTTGTCTAGTTTAGAGAGAGGGAGGCTGAGGGGCGACCAAATTGTTCTCTGGAGCTTCCTGAGGAGGGGAAGTGGAGAGGGAGATTACTGATCTCTCCTCACTGGTACCCACTACCAGGGCATGTGGGAATGGCTGAAAGCTGCATCCATCAGGGTAGGGTTAGATTTGACATGAGGAAGCATTTCTTGACCAAGAGGGTGGTCAAACCCTGCAAGACTCTTCTTTGAAAAGGGGTTGATGCCCAAAGCTTGTCAGTGTTTAAGAGGCATTTGGGTATTGCCCTTCATGCCATACTTAAACTTTTGGTCAACAGTTGGACTAGGTGGACTAGAGTGGTCAGGCAGTTGGACTAGGTGACTGTTTCTCTCCTTTCCAACTGAATACTCTATTCTATTCTGCACTCATGATGAGTCAAATAACAATAAGACTGTTATTTTACTGAAATGCCAGCGGTTTTTTAGCTCCAAGAACACTTTCAAAGACATGCAACACAAAGCTTATACATGGAAACAGGATTTTATTTTATTTTCTTGACTCTTTCAGGACAGATGCTCACAAGCACTAGCACTGTGTGCAGGTGTAGCCAGAGCAGGTTAATGCAGTCCTCAGTTTAGCTTGAAAAATCATCACGTATAGTCTGGCAAAGGAATGTCAGAGCCAGAACGTTGCAAATCCCCTACATCTTGTGGAGAACCATATGCTATTGGGACTGCATGGGGAAAACCAATTTCTGTCTCGCTCACATGTCTTTTGTGGCAAAGAATTAATAGCACAGTTTATATTCAACGCAGTTGCTATGAACTCCACCTCTCCAGGCAAGTTTGCCTATAGGGTTTCTGGCAAGATTACGAATTACGGACTGTTCATCTTCCTGGTAAGAGTCCTTCACCCAGGCTCTGCAGAGAGCAAACATGCCAGTCTGTAAACATCATTTCTTCATAGGACATGCTTTTTTTTGACCACATGTCCTTCCTGAAGTTTGCCATATAGAATAACCCAACAATCCCAAACAGTCCCAAACAATAGGACTGCCTGGAGCCAAAATAAGGGGTGCCAGGTGCACCCAGACTCCTTCAAATCAGAGGCAGACATTGGGTCAACCTAGAGATGATACAACAGTTCTGATAATATGTACCTCATATCAGGAAAAAAACCCAAAACCAAAACCAAACAACAACAACAAAACCCACCTAAATTATCTATAAAATATTAACCTTTACCAGAAACAGGAAAGCAGATAACTGATGCACGAAGAAGGCTCTTTCTAGAAAAAAAAACTCAAAAGTTTTAAGAAGGTGATTTTCTCTCTTTATTTGCTAATGCATTTTTTTCTGCACAAATTTATATTTTGTTGTAAAAAAATGCCAAACCCCAAACATTCCCACACCTAGTTTATAATTATCTTTTCTCTGATTTTAAATTATTTTGTTTTTTAAAAAGAACAATAACTAATGTCATGTATCACTTTGGATGCAAAAACTCAAGTAATGTGCATGAATACAGGTGAAGCAGTCCCTGTTTCCTGAGGAGTGAGAATGAGGATCAGTAGCAGTCACACACGAAAGAGTTGTGTGGTATTTTCAAAAGTATGACACATCTCGATGAGAAGCACGCTTTTTTTGCCTTCCTAAACTCTTTCCACTGCTGAGTTTCTTGCCCGGGGATGCATGAAAAGCTCTCTCGTGCCTGCCTGGCGCTTGTGTTGCCCACATGGAGAGCTGAAAAGTGGCAGCTCCTGATGAGGCAGCAAGCCTGGAGCCCTTCCAAACACAGGCTGTTTTGCACAAACAAGAACCTACAGAGAAGTGGAGCCAAGGGAAGAGAAGAGCTCACTCCTACTACAAACCTGTAATGGGCAAGAGAGCCAAAGAGAGCCAGTGGTGCCTTGGAAATGCCAGGGAAGAGAAACGTTGTTGCTGGTAATGCTCAGATGGGTATGGAAATGTCCGGCCAGGTGACTGACTGAACATTCCAATGCAACCGCTGCTTTTTAATAGTCCCCACATTCCTGTAAGATAGCTGCCAGGAAGGATTGAAGATTTTGCTTTTTATATGCCCACTTGAAACCACCTGAGAATGTTGGTGTGATGAAATGACTGATTATGTCATTCAGGTACAAAGGAACTTTTGTTTTTTGGTGTTTTTTTTAATTAATTAAAGAAACTATGGGAAACAATCCTCTAGCACACATTTTGTGGTTAATCAGTTTGTAGAGCAGGTGGTATGAGTGCAGAAAGCTGCCAGGCTATGTCTGTTCAGTTAAGGAATCTCAACATTTTGATGGCAGCCCGGTGTGACGAGACAGGCCCTGCCATGTGTCCAAATGTGGATCTGATGGATCAGCAGGCAGAGCAAGGCTAGAGACAAATTCCCTTGCTGTGAGTCCAGAGGGCTTTGAGGAAAAAACCAGTCTGTCCAGACTACATGGAATTACAAGCTGAATCTGACGTTTTGAGTCACGCTTCAAAACAAACTGGTAGCCAGTGCATTTTAAGACCATGATTTTCTCTTTGCAGAGGGCCTCACAAGGCAAATGGATGCTGAACTTGCACACCCTCAGACAATTAGCTCTGGCTGTACTAATTGCATTCCCATTCCAGACTGGAAGTAACAACTTCCTATATAATTGGCACTGAGTGCCACATCAAATTAAAAAAATTAGTCACGTATTTTAGCCAATGTAGATGGAAATTTTTTTGGAAGTGCACGTGTTACTTGTCTTTTTTCTTTTTTCTTTTCTTTTTATTTTTCTTTATGGATATTGATGGCCTGATCTGATGTTTGTATCTCATCCCAGACAATTTCCTATGACCCGCTGTTACACAGCAGGGCACTTTAACGGGAGGACTTCCAATACAAACCAAGTGTTGTTTGTAGCACTCGAGTGCAGTGATTCTGCTCACACCCTCGGGTTCAGGTGGCCCAAAGGTCACTGTAGCGCTCGAGACACCTGACCAAACGCATACCACGTATGTCTCTCCCCTCTACAGCTCTTTGCCACCCATGCTTGAGGCAGCTGCTGTAGAAACACAGGGGGAAGATTTAAGGTTGTATTGTACTCAGCCGCCCTTGTCTGGTGCTTTGAACTACCTGAAGGATGTTCTGTGTGCCTTGACCTAGACCTTGGCCGTCCCTGGTTGGCCTGCCTCTTCCTCAGCTGTGACGTCTGTGCAGCTCCCTGCACCAACTTTACTTTTCCCCTGTGCCCTTGCATCCTCTCTGGTGTTTGCCTAGCGGTGTGTTACGGATCCCCTGTTGTGCTCTGACTGACTGTGTTCTTGCAGATTGAAGTTGAAACACTGCTGAAATACAGGAGGGGGAAGGATTTCTTTTTTTGTGGTTTACTAAAAGACAATCCCCACAGGGGGAGGCAAAGTTTTGTTCTGGAATTTCAAAAAGCTGTTCCCCCAGCGTTGCAAAAACTTGTCTGATGTGATTTGTACCACAGGATATATAGCTTAATCTTCTGAGCATTTTGTGTAAAATTAAATTTTCTGTGCTTTTCCGTGAAACTTTTGTAACCTTCTTAGTCCACTCTTTCTAGCAGCTTTAATTGGAAAAAGGTTCTCATGGAGGATTTGAGGGAATAATACATCCAACTGCTCCAGTTTTACAAGAAATTTAACCTAAAAATTCTTTTTAAAAGCCTTGTAGTCAGAAGAGGCTTAGGGTAATTGCATGACCTTTAACCACTGGTTACATACTTTTTTTTTTTCGAAGAGACAATGTCTGGCAATATAAGTTGTCATAGCAGCTGAATTTATAGTGTCTGTGCTTTACAAAATGATTACTACAGTGTTCAGGCGTTTTAATGGACTTCTAATCTTCTGGTTGTGTAAGCTCTGGATGTGCTAGTAGCTAATACTGCCATTTTTCTGGAACTGTATGTGGATCTAAATCTGGACAGTGCTCCCTTATTTCCACCAGTCTAATTGAACATTAATTCTCTTGTTTCATAAATCCTCTGAGAGATGAAGAGGGATTAGACATTATTTTAAAAACAATTTTTAGAGCCTACTCGCCTAATTCTCTTAGTCATAAGTTTAGCAAAAAGAGAACTGACATAAAAGAAAATACCTGTTGGAATTTGTGGAGGTTTTGTGACTAATGTGTTTTGGTTTTGTTTGTTTAGAAATTCTTTCTATATGGATCAGCCTTCTAGTGATGGTGAAACTGGAAGAAGACCACTCTGAGCAAACCCAGGATGAATCGGGTGCCAGGTGATGCAGAAAATGCTCACAGTAGCAGTGTGGAATCTTGTCCTTCCTTGCGGGATGTCCACTCCATCAACCCAGCGCAGCTGATGGCAAGGATTGAGTCATATGAAGGCAGAGAGAAGAAAGGCATATCGGATGTCAGACGGACTTTCTGTTTGTTTGTAACATTTGATCTCTTATTCATAACCTTGCTGTGGATAATAGAATTAAATGTGAGTTGTCTTTTCAGTACCCTTTAGACTTTACTGAAGTATTTATTCGCATCAGAGATGGTTAATAAGTTGCTTCTTTCTATCCAAATTATATGCTATTTGTATCTATTTAAATTTAAGCAGCTTATTACTTTTAAGCTTTCATGAACATGGTATCTACTCAACTGCATCTACTTTTATTCATTAGGATATATGTTAATCTTCTTATCATGAAAGCTTTTAATGTTTCTGTAGTCTGTGAGCCACGCTGAAGAAACCACTGGAAATCCAGTTAACTCCTCAGGCATCAAATAAACAAAAATGTCACTGTAGGTCTTTGAATTTGGCAAGAAGTGTGAATTTTAACAGGATTCAAGACGTTGCCTTCTGAGTAACTTTAAGTCAGTGATATTTCACTGAGGTGTCAGTCTCTGAAAAGACTTCCAATGGCCAAAAGTTTACTTTTGCTGTGATGTATTTTCTCCGAGGCAAACTTAGTATGTTATACATTGTATATGGCAGGGTGTATTTACGAAGCATGAACTCCCACAGTTACGGCCTTTTAACTCCATGTTTTGTAATTTGGCAAATGAGGCTCTTCTCCTAAAATTTCCAGAAAGCAACAGGATAGATGATATGTTGTTTCATAAGTACCTCCTAGTTCTTGAGCTGGATTTTAAGAAAGAATCTAAACTTTGCATTTAAGAAAGGACATACTAGGGAGGAATCCCTCTTCTAGACAAGAAAGATCTTGAGTACATCTTTTTTGTCAGCATTCCATTACAAGATAAATAACCTTGGTTATTGATTTGGCATTATAAAGCTTCAGGAGCTGACTGTTCAATAGTTCATTCATACAGTGCAAAATACTCATTCTGATTTAATATGAGAAAGCAGGCTTTGCTTTCCTGAATGCTGTAATTTTGGGACTAGACGTCTGTTGTCTCTCTAGGTGGAAAGATTGTTGTATCTAGTGTGTAAAGTTATCTTGTCTTAGAAAAGCAGCATAGTGTTCTGATGCATTTCTTTTTTTTAGGCCAAGTTCTCAACAGCTTGTATGACTAAGAGCAACATAGTCTGGGTTTATATCTCTTGTTGAGGCTTCAGAGTACAGATTTGCCTATGAGTGCTCTCAGAATATTTAAGAGTCTGTATAGAAAATGCTACCAACTCCTGATGTTTCATTTTGAATGCTACAAAGATTAAGGGACCTCAACAACCTAGCAGTTTTCTTCATGAAAAGCTTTATTTTAAGGAGAACGTATTATGAACCAGAGTCCTATACTGCCAAATGTCAGCAAGAATAAAAAACAGGGTTTTGTCTTTAGAAGTCATGATGTTAGAAGCTCACATTTGATATCTGGCGTCTGACCCGTGGTTAGGAGTTTTGTTCTGTTTTTTTTCTAATTGTTTTGTTCCTTGGGAAGTCAAATAGCAGTGTATTAGGACTGTCTGTCACTGGTGCATAAGTAATGGGACTTCAGAATTGCTGCGAGAGTTCCTGTAAGTATTGTTTTCTCTTTGTTGCTATTTTCCAGTTTCTTTAGGAGTAGCTTATTTTTAAATGCTTCAGGAAGTAGCACCGTGACATTTTTTGAGCAAAACCCAAGGCTTTCATGGTTTTCTGTTCATCCTTACATTAACATGGTGCTCACACAGCCATGTGATGAACAGCTGGGAGCGGGGGGAGTTATCTTCCTTATTTGTGCTGGAAACAGATAATCACACCTGATGCAGTAGAGTAACCAAGAGAAAACTGTATTTAGAAAGTTATTTGTTAGGTAGTCATAGAGGTGAGGCAGAGGAGAAGAAATAGAAGAATAGTCTCAGGAAAACACTGTCCAGCAGTATAGTTGGGAAGGTGTGGAAGCATCTAGACTGCATTGCTTTGAGATGGTGAGCATATGTTGCTGGCATGCTTTGGTACCTCCTTTCCTTAAAAAGATGGCAATAATCAAACTCAATATTAAAGCCTTCTGTTGGTGTTGTTTTACGTAACTATTTAATGCACTGCTTAATTATGGAATTTCGTATTAAAAACGAGTTGGACACTGAGGTTTTTCGTTTTCCACTAAGACAAATACTCCTCTCATTCTCTGACCCAATGCATCTTAAATTATTTTCTTACTAAGCCTGTTTGAACAGGAAAGTGATGAATCGTTCCACTAGAAAGAAACACGGTGACTAAGGAACACGCAATTTTGAATCTCCTCCGCAAATGAAAGAATTAAACTTGTGTGTTAGTTATTTGTGGGAGAAGGGTCTAGTAGTTGCAGCTTCTGTGTTTTTTATAGTGGGTCCTTTAGCTCAGCTCTTCTGAAACAAACCAAATGTGTGCTGATAAGGAAAAGATTTGAAGTATGAATTCAGTTACTGGTTTTTTCCTATTTGCTAACATGTGACTAATGAGAGCTGGTTTTTAGGTGGCTTTTGGGATCCTCCTTATGAGACATAAAATGCTTTGTGAATTCGTGTAACAGACCTTACATTTAATAATTTCTTCTTCTCTCAACAATTTGTTTGCTTTTATTTTGGGACAGTCTGAAATGTAATTTGCCTAGGCCAGACGATAATCCTAAATGTTTTCACTTTGAAAAGCGTATATAATCATGAAAAACAAATAACAACAGTAATCTTGAAATTAACATTCTTAGCATATAGGTCCTCTGTATTTAGTTTAAGGATCTTTTTGTAAATCATCAAAGAATCACCCTTCACATTTGTGTGTATTTTGTTTTCAGTAACTTCTATTCTAAAGCTGTATGTGGTGTTGTTTCTTTGTAGGTAAAAGGAGGCATTGAGACTACCTTAGAGAAAGAAGTCCTACATTATGACTACTCTTCTTCATATTTTGATATATTTGTAAGTGTTCTTAAAAAAAGAAAAAAGAGCAGCAAAACGAAAATTATTTTGTCCTGTAGTTGAAACAAGGGTTAAGAACATGTAATGGGAAATTATAATAGACTTCTATTCCCTGTAAAGGGACTAGATCATTGAATTCTGCAAAATGATTTGTGGGCTTATACAGGATTTCGTCTGTTTTCACCACACGTTTGCATAAGATTAAATGGGTTCATTATACTTCTGGCCATGGCTGTCCTTGGTTTGTCTTCATTTTTAAGCACTTGTTTCACATTTTTTAGATTCTGAACACATCTTTTAAAACAAGTTGGAGACAATTTAATATCCAGGAATAAACAAGGAAATTGAAGGTTAGGGTCCGTGATCAGAAATCTCATCTGTCTGCTATTGATTTAATTTTCTGGCCTAGAAATACCATAACTTACCTTTTTTTTTACTGCAAAGTAGTCAGAATGACTTGATAGTGTAGGCATTTTCATAAGGAATAACTGATTTTTGCAATGTCAATATTTAAAAATTGCTATAAGTATAGTAGGTAGAAAATTATTTTTATAAATTCTTCTCATTTTCTGGTTCCATTTATGAAGTCTTTACAGTTTTTAATGATATTCTTGTGCAGTTGCACACCAGTAAGATCAGCAAGATGCACAGTGATGCTCAAGGTATTTGCTGGATTAACTGCATCTAGATTTAACTGCTTAGATTCCAGTCAGGTAAAAAGATCATGAACATACTTTGCGTAGTTTTCTTATGTTTCTGACTTACTTGTGGAATTGCCCATGCTTGCATATTTGAGCCTATGTAGGCATGTGAATGTTGTAATTTGCTTTACCAGTGGGAAAGTATGTTCTGTTTCTGTTTTACAAGCACACATTCAAATTTGTTCCTTGATAACAGAACTCATATTGTCCTGTTTTGTTTCATTAGTATATTCAGTGAGATGAGAATCTCGTGGTTCTTCTGTGTTCTGAATTAACCAACAAATATTTTTTTCCTTTCTCTATAGCTACTGGCAGTCTTTCGATTTAAGGTGTTAATACTTGCATATGCAATGTGCAGACTGCGCCATTGGTGGGCAATAGCTGTGAGTAGTAGACAAGCATAATGGAGTTTTTACTGGAATGGATCAGACAAAAAATTTAGTTGCCTCTTAACCCTTGTATGTTAAGAATCATCTTGATGCTGTATATAAAAATTGATTGTACTGTAACACATTAAAAACTTATTTTATGGAAGATTTTCAGCCAAGAGGCAAGAATTCAATAGTACAGTGGGTGTGGTTCTAATTAGGTATCATGTTAATACAAATTGAAGACTTGTTTTTAATCCAGTATGGATGGCTATTCGTAACTGCTTGTTACCTCTGAACTTGTTAATTAATGTTGGAAATATATTTGCATTTGAAATAGTGAACCGTATTCAAGAACAAGAATTGGCATTGTTGTACCGGAGATCCTGGTTCCATGAACTCCCACATTCTTACTTTCTAAAGTTTTTGGTGCCACATGTTGAGCACTAGCACCTGTATTGCTTCATGCTCCAATATAAAATGTTGAACGTGCATCCCTTCTTAAAAGGGAAGCTCTCGAGAACTGTAGGCAATCGCAGCGTTTTGGAGCCAGTATCTTTAATGCAGCTGTACTGTGTTGATAAGGCAGCAAAACTTGGTGACAGATTCATACTTCCACCAGTCAAAACAACTACAGATTGTAATACAACAGGCATATTGCTGGCTTAGTGCTTTGTACATCAGACTTTTTTCTTTCCCTGCCCTGTGGTAGGTGCATGTAGAATATGTTCACATATAACTTTCTCCAAGTCAGTAGCATGCAGTTTGTTTTGTAGTCTGAGGCTACGTGCCATGATTTTTATAAACTGTATTACTAGCATGGCACAAACACATACATAATGGTAGCTGCTGCTGCTGTGCTTATATTTAATGCACATCTTAAAAGTCCTTGCTCTTGGTTGCGTAGCTTTAGAGTATTTCTTAATCCTCCAACTTGATGCCTTTGTTTGTGAGAGTAAACCCATCATGGCAGTAAGCAATTAGATATATAAAGCTCCAAATAAGGTTTTGCAGAAGCCTTTAATCTTAACATCCTACCTGTGATTGCCAGAAGCTAACTAGCTAGTTAAGTTCTGCTATTTAAAGAACTGCTGGACCCAAATGCATTAGTAGAGACAGAAGCCTTGCTTAAGTGAACAATACTTGTCCACTGCTTTTTGGGAGGGAGGGTTGAGATGTTTTATGCAGTCTGCCATTTTTTAAATGGAGAGTATCAAGTCTCCAAAGAGATACATTTTTCACAGTATCAGTGGGTGAATTAAAATATTTATTCAAATTTATTCCTGTAAAGATGTTCTGTTCTATTAAATGGATCTTTTGATTCGGATAGTATGGAAAAACATTTGAAACAATTGCTGTTTGCTTTTTTCCCAAGTTCATAAGTAGTTTGGGGTTTTTTTAAGGGACTTGGTGAATAGAGAAATGTGTCTGCATTGTACAGTAAGATCACAATTTATATAATCAAGTCAGTGTAGATGCTACACAAATGTTATCTGCTGTGTGGAAATCAATGTTTGGAGGTGTTTGTATTAAAAGTTTATTAAAGAGGTTATTTTAATAACGCTTTAAGTTAGTTGTATCATGCTTGTTAGATTTTATTAATCTGTGTGATATTGCTGTAGTTAGTAAAATATTTAACGTTGCAACTAATGCATAATGGCAGAAATGAGAAAGTAAATCCATTTACTAGTTTAACTGTTCTGTCTCTTTCAGTTTACAACAGCAGTGACCAGTGCCTTTTTATTAGCAAAAGTAATTATTTCACAGGTATATATTCTAATCAACTGTTTGTTTTACTTTGTTGTTTTCTTAAAAGCAAAATTCTTCAGACTAATTTCTGTAATGTTTTGTTTCCTCCCAGCTGTTCTCACAGGGTGCTTTTGGCTATGTGCTGCCCATCATATCCTTCATACTTGCCTGGATTGAAACTTGGTTCCTGGACTTTAAAGTGTTACCACAAGAAGCTGAAGAAGAAAACAGTAAGCTCTTGATGCTTCCCCTCGATCGCTGCAGTTGGCAGTGTTTGATCCCATGTTAGCTGGCAGAGTATTGCTTCTTTCAGCATCTCAAAATTTGAAGAGCTGTGGGAGAAATTAAATCATATGGAACGAATTTTCTTTTTTGGGAAAGGAATGTACGCCTTCAAAGAAGTGAGGTTTTAGTTGAGTTAGGGAGGCAAAGCTAAAAGTTACAAGGACCAGATCAGCCATTTGTCAAGCCCTTAGGAATGCATATCATTTTATGTCCTTAAGATACAAAACTTTACCTGACTTCGGCTTGTAAAACATTATTTTTTGGGTAGTGCATAGAATAAGTGCCTGGTTCCTCTTTTAGACACAAAAACTAATTCAATGTCATGAACTCTTCTTTTGAGGCGGAAAAGGAAAGGCAAACAAGTGTTGTAGAGAGTCTTCTTCATGCACAGGCAGAATGAGACCAGAGCAAGTATGAATTTCAGCCACTTCAAGATGAGGCAGCTGGTCATCTGACACTCAATGTATTTAATTAAATGGAGGAAACCATTGTTTAATTTGAAAGAGAATATTGCTTGAGTGGTGAGGGAAAGAAAGCATACAGGTGCTTTGTGATTTTCAAAAGCAGAAGAATAATTATACAGCCAACCTGTTGTTTATGCATCATTACCTGAAATACAGTCTGAAACTCTGTTGGAAGGGCATGTTTATCTGTTAAGTAAAACCAAAAACTTTACACAGGCATGAATGCCTCCATTTTTTTGGTGCTCTGAATGCAGTCTTTCTACTTTGATCCCTTCCCTCTTCTTTTTCACCACTCTAAGAAGTTGGTTAAATGAGAACAGTGGATTTTGCCTAGAGGAAGAAAAACTCAGGGTAACTTTTTTGTATTTTGAGGAGGTGAGAAAATACAGCTGCATCACACCATTATCTAATTAGATAAGAAATCTAACCAGTTCAGAGACTTTTGCATTTTTTCATATTGAATTTTTATAGACAAGGAAAGTATTCCATACATACACATGTAAATACTTCATGAAGGTTGCAGAAATTAGCATGTTGAGACAGATAAGTGAAAGCAAGCCATTAATGAGAAGTCACAGTGGCAAAGTGAGAAAATATTTATTTGGTTATCTGTGGCACTTCACTGATCATTAAAAATATATTCCAGATTTGTAGTTAGCCAGTGAATATTGATGAATTTACATATGGCATCCTAATCATACAATTGCACATAGTAGAAGGAAGGATTCCTTAATTTGTGTGTATAGTATCTGTCTTTTTGCTAGTGCATGTCACCTTAGCTGCGTAAAGTTAAGACATAAATGTTAAATTAACTGTTGACACTTTTAAAAAATATATTTATCTAAAGAAGTAACTTGTTAGGAATGCTTATACATGATACATTAGTCTTCAAGATGCTTCATCAATATTTGATTTTTAAGATGCTATGTATTAGCACTGAGGAATTATTTTTGTTGTTTTTTTCCATTTAGGATTTTTGATAGCACAGGATGCTTCTGAACGAGCAGCTCTTCTTCACCCAGGAGTCCTCTCTGACGGGCAGTTCTATTCTCCTCCTGAATCTGTAGCAGGTAGTTATGTTCACATAGTGAATGATTTTTCATATTCACTTTAAAGTCCTGCATATTCCACCTCCTTCAAGAGGGTAAGGGGGAGGGTGAGGGGGGCAAAAGCCATGTTTTTCTTTTTAAATGAAAAGTGTACTTTAGCATCCTAAAATGCAAGATTCTTTCTTATTCAGTAATTCAGTTTAGTTACTACCTATCAGACGGGTTACAATACACACAGTTAGTGTATTTTAAGTCACGTTCTGACTAAAAACAAGGTAAGTCTGAGAGAAAATAACACTGCAACTGGAAGGAGGCAGTTTTGGTTTTCTTCTGCCATCGATAATCCTTACAAGTTCCTTGCAACTTGAGATATTCTGTGACTCTGTGATCTCTTTTCTGCTTGCAATAGCATTTATGCAGCCATGTACTATCTAATCCAGCCTAAACTTGGAGATTTACAGAATCTTAGAATAGACATTGAACCTGAAACTGCTATAAAGCAAGCTGAAATTTCAATCAGAGGCTTTTTTCTTTTCTCATAACAAAAAGAAAAGGCCCACTCTGTGTAAGAAGGCTTAGCTGTTTGGGTATATTAAACTGGTGGCTACATTTAATTACATCTTAACTCTGTATATCATATGCTCTGCTCTAGTTGAAGTATGAGCTGACTAAGTCAAAAATAAGTGTAAATACCACAAGATTTCAGAATGTGTTTGCAAGCATTTCAAGGAAATGAGTGATTTCTTTGTGGGTTGAGTGGATTTGAGTTACCTGAGAATGCAGTGTGAACCCACAAATCCTATGTCAATCTTTTTACCCTAAGATATAAATCTCTTCTGTAAAGCTGTGCTGTATTATGCAGTATAATTAAAGTATCTGCTAATTGCTACAGATAAGTTTGCCTCTCTTGCATTATATGGTTATACAGGTTGGTGATATTTTTCATTTTAATGTCTGTCTCTGTGGTTTCTGCTGAGCATTTTGACTTAATGAATGACTTCGAGCTCCATCTAGGGGTGACAAAGTATTAATGTCAAGTATAACTAATAATTCAAAGTCAAAATGGATTTTAGTTAAAACTCTGAATTTATCTTGAGGAATAAATGGTTGGAAGAATTATACTGGATTCAGCCTGGCTTTTTTCTTGGCAACGGAATGTACAGTGTGAGAGGAAGTGTTAGTGGAGCTAATATGGTTTTTTAGACATTTTGGCTGGGTCAGTGTTGCAAGTGCAGTGAGGCATCATGTCTCAGCATGCATGTGTTGTCTACAGGTGTATGATTGTGCCATTGATTTCAGCTTATCAAATGGGATTCAATGACAGCTCAGGTGCTTTGTTTAAGCACCCCTTGTAGGTATGAGGATTAAAAGAAACAGTCATATCGATATATTTGAACTAAACACGCACACACTGGTAGTCACGAAGTGAAACTGCTAGATAATATACAGTAAAAATAGTTCAAAATTAAAATACTTTCTTCAAAGATCTGCATTTGTTTCTGAGAAGAAAAACTATGGATTGGTGTTAAGAGAGCAAGTTTTGGTCAGTCTGTCTTAGATATTGATTTGAAAAATATTTAGGAAGAAACTATTCCCTGTGATCATGCAGAGGGGAATAAACCCCTCTGCTGACACGGCAACATTTATAAAAACAAATATTTGCTTTTAGGAGGTGATGTTTAAAACAGGCTCTGTTGGAATTTTCAGCATATTTATCTTTCTTGAAACTACGCATGTCCAGGGCTATACCCCAGGCCCACTTCTTTATATGGATTGATCCTTCAACATCAGACTTGGTTTCCAAGTAACTGTTCTGGAGGTAGCAAGTGGAAAATTGGCCAGGAAAGAGTAAATTTATTCAGATTCTGTACAATTTGAGCTTCAAAACAAAAGGCAGATATGCTATTGCAAGAAATTAAAAAACTTCAGAGTAACTTTTGAAAACAAAAGAGCTTAACCCCTTTGTCTGTCCTTTTCCTTTGTGAGAAGGAATGTGCGTGCATTGTTCAGCTTTAAATTCAGGCCAAAAGCCCAAGTAAGTCTACAGGCATTTTATCAAAGACAGTTCTTTACTCATCTTATTGGATTCTTTTTCTTTGGGAGTCTCATTTAAACTGCCCAAGACCTGTGTGGTGAAAGCCATGTGGTGATAATTTCCTCAGGTGTCCCTGACAAGGACTGATTGCTGCCAGGACTGACTGCCACCTCAGATGTGGGCACAGACATCTGTGGCTTGGGCTGGAAGTCCAGGAAATGGGGGTCAGGGCTGCTTACCCTGCTTGCTTCCTGTCTTCTTGCTCTCCCTAAAGTGACTGATCCATCAAGCTACCTTCCTTCAAAGCAGTGCTTCCAGCAGGAGATGTCTCTGGGCAGGTAGCCCTGTGACTAGCTAAGCTTTCTCTTTGAGGCCTTCCAGGGCTTTGTCAAAGCAGAGAGCTGAAAGTGGGAAGGGCATGAGGAAAGGAGAAGTGGGCAGGGAAAGGCAGAGGGAGCTGTTTGGTTTGTGGCTTCGAGTGAGACAATCTCTTGTCAAAACACTAGATTACAGAATTTATTAATTTGTAGAAGCAGTTATTTGTGGCTGCTTTGAAAGTGTCTTCTGAAGTTGTCTTCCAAAGGGCAGGGTGTAACAAGTGGGAAAATCTGCTTGTCAGTGAGTAAATGTGGAGTTGATTGTCCTGAGTATGTTGTCATGAAAATTTGAAATGTGACTGAATCCATTGACAGGATATTTCAAGAAGGATCCCACTGCTGGGTTTAGGGTTTGCTAACTGTTACCAAAAAAAAACCCCAAACATAAACAACTTTCAGTGTGAAACATTTGAAAGGATAAGAAATCTAAAATAAAAAGTAAATATTTTTATGGGAAATGGTTGCTTTGAATTGCCTTTTGATAAGCCACTACCAGTGGTGGTCTGATTTCTTCTTTTTCCCTTCATCTTTTTTTTTTCCTCTTTCTCTTCTCTCAGCTGATCTAATAGCATTCTTGTCTTCCTTTTCAGGATCTGATGAAGACTCGGAAGAAAAACAAGACAGTGAAAAACCGATTGTATAGCAAATATGAGAAAGCAGGTAAGTTCCTTTTCATGAGACCTGGATATTCCTTAAAGCATGTTTTTCTTCTTAGTTCCTTCCCAAGTAATTTGAATGGTGGTCTAACTCTTAGGAGTTCATCTTTTTTGAACTCACTTTGTCTCTCTTAGCAGTTTCAAGCAGGAAATCCTGCCAGGATCTTGAGAGCCTGGAGGTGGGGTCCTTGGCATTTATTTGTTGGCTGTCCTGGAAAGGACAGTGATGGACCAGATGTGTAAAAACTCCTTTGTTTGCTAGGGGGTAGAGATACTTCTTTGGAGATGCCAGTGCAAGAGTAATAGGAAGAGATTTGCTTTGGTTTAGGTCTAGTACAAGTAAAGATTTCATAGGCAAAACTACTTTGATATTTCCCCTCCTCAGTCTGTTTAATACTACAAGTGGGTTACACTTGGACCAGCTGCATCTTAAGATTTTTGTATACCTTGTTTAAATATAAGAGATTATTTCCTTATTTTGGAAATTACTTCATTTACTTCTGGAATTATCTTGCCCCATGCTTTCTCTTCACCACCCACAGCAAAGCTCCAGGTAGGGGAGGTATTAAATGGTTCTTGAAGCTGAAGCTTCTGATTTTAAGTTCTCATCTGGAAGAGTGGATGACCTTTTCTTTCACCGTCTGTGTTTACAATATCTGTTTTCTTTACTCCTATCTTCATTCATCTTGACTTGTGCATTCTGTTGCAGAAAGAAAATCTTGGAAGGAAGTTGTTGGGCTTTGGAAACTGGCAACCGAGTCTGTGGCTGACTTGCTGGTGGAGCTGCTGACAGGAGAATTTACTCCTTAGAAAGTAAAGGGAATGGTTCCCATGTACTGTAATACCTCATGAAGATGTACTTTGTTGACATATGTATATTAGGTTGCCTCCCAGGTGGTATGAAAGTATTCGTCCACAATGTATTTTATTATTCCGTGATTCCTGAAGTTGATCTTCTAATGACTAGGTAATTACTGGAAAGTGTTGTCTTGTGTACCTAATCAAGAGACTGGTAATATAATGAAGTAAAACTTCTCTGTCGTGGAAGTATATTTAATAATTGTTGGGGCTCACTAGATAAAATTATTTTATGTTATTGCAATTTGTCATTAGTTTTATGTTTACTTTTTTTTTTAACTCCATGCATTTTCTTTTTTTTTTAATGGATATGTTCACTTTCTAAAATAAAGATGTTAAAACATGGGTAATGTATAATGATATTTTGTTGCTTTGTCATTAGAAAATCTGCATATACCACTCCTTTATTTCTCATGGGGTAATAAGAATTCCAGTTTGCATAGTTTTTGTGCAAAATGTGCTATAGGCTGATTGCCTGTAGGGATGCTGTGGTAGTGGCACATCAATACTTGTTCTGTATGTGATATCAAAAGGATTTAAGGAGCTCCTTGAAGTAACCTGGTTCCCACTCCTGTACTAGTGGTGATGTTCTTCAGGTTCAAGGAGGAAACTGGAGTAAGTGAGCCTTTGCAAACAAACACTGATATTACACCAGTAGTGAAGGGAAGGTAGTCAGTCATTCAGTTTGCCTGTACAAGATGTGTACTTCCAGATACAGGTCTTGCGTGTTAGATGACCCTTGATCAAAAACATGTTATGTAACACCTAATTTCTACCTAAAGAGGAATGTAAGTGTGGCTGCTTTTCTTGTAGAGCCATTAGGTTTTATTAGCAACCTGCAGAGCAAATGCCAATTACCAGTGTGTTCCTCTCATGTTAACTCACTCATGCACGTGGGCCATATTGCTTTGTAGTACTTCCATTGCCCTGGAACAGCAGCTTAGCAGGCAGAAGACAAAGTGAGCTGTGGTCTCATCATATCACAGCTTCTCCTTGAAGCAGTGGTGACTGTTTCCGTTTACAGGATTTTTCACTTACTCAGTTTCAGCAAATCAGTAAACCAGCAGCAGAGGGTTGTAAGCCACTGCAGCTGTCAAACAGCCACGAACTCCATGAAATCACAGATGGATATGGATGTTCAGCACTGTGTGGATGCAGGATTTCTCTTCACTTTTAACCTTTGGGTATGAGACATTACAAGTGGGCTGGGAGATCATTTATTAAAAGTGAGCTAGAGTCATAAACATGGTCAGTTGGTTAGTTCTGGTTGAGTTGGAAATAAAAACGATGCTAGTGAAGTCTGCGAGAGCTACATTTTTATGTAGCAAGAGCTACATAAAAAAAGATGTTTTGAGAATACCGTCAAAGATATTTTATTTCACTTTAACTACTGTAAAGGCTTAATAGTAAAGTCATCACCTGCCTTTATTTTCCAAATCACAGTTCTGTAAATAAGAATGTAACTAAAAGATTAGGCAGTCTAGCTTCCTTCACACTGAAGATGTATATACATTGGAAAACACACGTGCCCGGGCTGCAGCTCCCAAGGGACGATGCAGGGATTCAAGTGCGCACGCCAGCGGGAAGGGGGGCACTTCCCTGTGGGGGCCGCCGGCCCCTCCAGCTCCCCCCGCGGCCGCGGGGCCCCCGAGCCGCGGATGCCCCGCCGCTGGCCCCGCTGCCGTCCCGCGGCCGCTCCGCCACAAGGAACGGCCGGGCAGGATCCGGCAGCGCCGGGACACCGGCCACGGGCACCCGGCCACCGGCAGCAGCAGGTACCGGCTCTGCACGGAGGCCCCGGGGTGGGGGATGAGGGAAATCCGCCCGCCGCTCCCCCTCTCCCAGCCGGGGAGAAGTGGCGGCTCCCTGGGAGCGCAAGTGGAAGCGATGCCGCCTGCCCTCCGAGTGTGGGACAGCACACCTGCCTGACTCCCCACTCTGTAGCGATTGCTCGCTGGAAGCACTTTGGAAAGACCCAAATCCCAGCATTTAGGGCTCTTGGAATGTCGCTGGGAAACACCTCGTTCAAGCGGACACTTCCCTGGGAACGATTCAGCCCCAATATCGTGCTCCGTAAGCAGGGAGCTTGGCAACCCTCCCTCTTTGGGTTGCCAAGCGCTCCAGCAGCAGCAGGAGGCTGCCTTTGCCCATCCCAGCCGCCCCGCGCTGTCCCGAGCTCAGCTCACCCCTCCAGAAGCCGCAGGACGGGTCATTCCCCGAGGAAGGGGGAGTTCCCCACGAGCCCCCGCACGGAACGGGCACCGAGCACAGCGAGCCCTGCCACTCCCGGGAGCCGAGCCGAACCGAGCCGAGCCCCGACCCGCCACCGCAGCCCCCCAGCCCCTCCCGCCGGACGCCCGCACAGCTCTGGGTACTGCCGGTCCCGCGGCGTCCTCCGGGACCACCGGGAGCGAGCCGGGCGGGGAGGGGACGAGGGAAACCGGACCGGATTTTCCCGGAGTACGGAATAGGGAAACCCGGACCGGATTTTTCCCGGAGTACGGAATGGCGGAAAACCCGGACTGGATTTTTCCCGGAGTACGGAATGGGGAAAACCCGGACTGGATTTTTCTCGGAGTACGGAATGGGGGAAAACCCGGACTGGATTTTTCCCGGAGTACGGAATGGGGGAAAACCCGGACTGGATTTTCCCGGAGTACGGAATGGGAAAACCCGGACTGGATTTTTCCCGAGTACGGAATGGGGAAAACCGGACTGGATTTTTCCCGGAGTACGGAATGGGGAAAACCCGGACTGGATTTTCCCGGAGTACGGAATGGGGAAAACCCGGACTGGATTTTCTCGGAGTACGGAATGGGGAAAACCCGGACTGGATTTTCCCGGAGTACGGAATGGGAAAACCGGACTGGATTTTTCCCGGAGTACGGAATGGGATTTCAAAAAAAAAAAAAAAGAAAAAAAAGGAAAAGGGGGAAAAAAGAAAAAAAAAAAAAGAAAAAAAAGGTCACGTCCCGTCCGGCAGCTCTCCCGGGACATGGGGAAGGGGGAGCGGCGGCGCAGCCTGCAGGGACAGCGGCGTTCTTGGGGCCGGGGAGGACGGGGCCGGGAGGCCAGGCGGTGGGGACAGTGCGAGCCGGGGGGCGGGGCCAGCGCGAGCCGGGGGGCGGGGCCAGCGCCATCCCGCGGCGTTTGTCTCTGGGCTTTGGGGTTGTTTCGGGTTCGTTTTGGGTGCGAGTTTTGGGGGACTATGCACACCCTCCTGGGTCACAGCCCCGCCCTAGCTCGCTGCACACTGCTGCGTTCCCTGCACCCCTTGCACTGCTGCAAGGACAACCCCCCGGGGCGCTGCAGGACCGGCTGCACCGGGATGGCCCCGCCCGCTCTGCCCGCCCAGCCTGGCCCGGCCCCTCCGCGCTGCACCACCCCCCGTTCCCTCAGGGGCCGGTGGACCTGGTGTCCCAGTCCGGCGGGTAGACCTGGTGTCTGTTCCCAGCGGGTAGACCCGGTATCTCTTTGCATAAGGCAGACCTGTTGTCTGTGCCTTGCGGGAAGACCTGGTGACCGAATCAGGCAGGTAGACCTGGTCTCTGTTTCCAGTGGGAAGACTTGGTGTCTGTGCTCAAAGGGTAGACCTGTTTTCCGTGCCCGGCGGGTAGACCTTGTGTTGTGCCTGAGCCAAGCCGGTAGACCTGGTCTCTTTTTTCATCTCCCTCCCAGTGGGTAGACCTGGTCTCTGTTTCCAGAAGGTAGACCTGGTGTATGTGTTCAAGGGGTAGACCTGGTGCCCAAGTCAAACAAGTAGACCTGGTCTGTTTCCAGCAGGTAGACCTGGTGCCTATGTTCAAAAGGTAGACCTAGTACCCAAGTCAGACTGGTAAACCTGGTCTCTTAAGCAGGAAGACCTGGTGCCTGTGTTTGACGAGCAGACCTTTTACCCAAATCAAACAGGTAGACCTGGTCTCTGTTTCCAGAAAGTAGACCTGGTGTCCATGTCCAAAGTGTAGACCTGGTGCCTGAGTGAGGCAGTAGACCTGGTGTCTGTTCAAAGGCTAGACATGCTCAAATGCCCAATTCTACTTTGGGCTGCTAATGGGATCTATGGAAAGCTTTAAATCCTACCAGTATCAAGAAATATTCCTCATCATATCAATCTAAGATAAAGAACTGTTTTCCCATTAGCCAGAAAATAAAGAACACGTGCAAAAGATTGAAATCCCAGCTGACTTGATTCTTTATTCTTACTGCAACTCTCTTCTACCTTTTTCTCCAGGAAGTCCAAGTCAGGTGAACAAGGTGAGTCCAGGATCACACAACTCTGAAACTCAACTCAAGAGAAAACATTTTAACAGCTGCTCGAGGCCACTCATTCAACCAATAATCTAAGAATTCTCTCAAGGACCTCATGTGTTACTAAGCTCTCTCCAGCACAAGAATCACCAGTGCCTATATTAAAATTACCAAACTCCTCAAGTATTCCTCCTCTTTCATTCTGTCCACATTGGGACTATATTAAATGAAACTGAAATAGAGTCATACCTTCATAGAAATATAAATATTCTTTATTCTCCAACACATAACTTGTTTTTCTAATGAAACAGATTTAGGAGATATCAACTTTATTCCTCCTTGTTAGGCCATTCCTTTATTTTTCAATGGACAATATCTGGGGGTAGTGTTCTCGGCACTGAACTCTCCTCCTGATCTGTGCAACACTGCATGTGCTCAGATTTAGCTTAATCCTATGTGCTTTTATTTAGGATTGGATTATCCACCATAATCCGGCCTTGGAGCAGACTTGTGTAGCTGTGAATACTTACAAAGCAATAATAAAAGATAATTATTCTCTGCCACTCTCATTACTTCCCATTTCAAACCCCAAAGCCATAGAAATTCCTTGCCCAGCCTCTGGACAGCTCTGCAGCTGTCAGTTCACCTTTGGTTTTCTTTATGTGCAAATCTAAGCAATTTGCTCTTTTTTTCATTTTTATATGTTCTTAACCTAAGGTCACCTCAGCACTGATCTTTGATAAATTCCACATAGTGTCAGAAACCAGACTGAGGGGTAAACGTTCAGCACCTCTGTAAGAGGGGAAGAGAAAGGACAAAAAACCCAAAACAGCAAATTTAAGAATAGACTTAATGCATGGACCACTTAAAACTAGAGGGGAAAGAGGGAGGTCCCGGAGCAGCTGATAAACTGAGTTCAGGTTGCAACTTGATCTGAACCCAGGCAGTTATTAACTCCCAAATCCTCAAAAAGCACTGTGATCCACATGAGGCGAAAATAAAAATCCAAACCAAGCAAACTTGGTTTGGAGCGGGGAGGGAAACAAGGAGAAAGGAGAAGAGAAAGATAAATCCCTCACTAGTCCTAAGGTGTGGAGCAGGAACTCCACTCTCCTCCAGACACACAAAGTCACAGCTTTTCTTGCTAAAGGTCTGTTTTCCAGATTCTGTCTGATTTATCAGCTTCTGCAACTAAACCAGCACGAGAAGCTTCTTAATGTAAATTACAGCAGAGAAGGGGCACTCAGTTTGCACAGGACCACTGCTTCTTTCACATAATACAAATAGTTTTGTGGTCCTGATTTCATTTTTTCAGGGTTTGCTGATGATCAAACTTTTCCTTTACTGCCTCCTTTCCATTCTCCTTTCCATAGCTCTGCACCACCTCTTCTTATTTAATTATTTTTGCTGTCCTCACCTCCTCCCTTTAAGTGTAACTTCCTTAAGCTACTTGCCAGCCACTCTAGCTGCTGCCCTGCTCCTTATTCTCTTTTTTATTTGCTTCCACACCTTTCATATCACTGTCTTCTCCTTTCAGAATCTTAACCTCTTTTTCCAAAGTTACTGCCCACAGTCTGTCTTGACCAAGTAGTACAGGCAACAGAGGTAATGTCATACATTTTCGCAGAGGTGCATGTCTAAATGCTTTTCTGAATTCTTTTACTGATTACTAATTGTGAGGCTAAATTCCAAAATCAGGGTTCCGACAATTAAGGGCTGACACCTCACTGGCCTCTAGCAGGCTGAGCAAAATAAAGCTGCTGTTCCCTGTCCTAAGTTAACCATTTCCTAGATGGGTTCAAACCACTACATGTGTGTGCACTGATGCACAACCAATGCTGAACCAAGGCTTGTACAGCTACCAAGTAAAAATATGACCATCACCTTTAATTTAGATCTCATACAGCCATTACATGACTGAAACTGGTGACACTGAGCTGGTTTAGAGTGAGGAACTGAATTAAGTCATTACAAAAATAGCTTACCAAAGCATAATTCAGTGCTCTCCTCTCTTCCTCCTGACTCTACATGGATATATAGACTATCAGAAGAACAAAAGGCAGTGAGAAAAAAAATTGAAAGCATATTTCATAGAAAACACTTCATCATTATGTGAAGCATCAACCTCCAGACAAAGACAACTCTGAACTCTTAAAAAGACGAAATGCTCCTTCAGGAGCATGTAATGTGTTTTCCTTTAAAGGAAATTTGGTTTTCATAGGAGGAGTTCTTGTTTCAGTTAGAAGAGGTTGTTTGAGATATATGTACAGAGACTAGTTCATCCACTTTCTAAAGTCACAATTTCTCATACCTTACAAAACATCCAAGCTCCAGATCACTAAAAATCTAAGATTCAAAACTTTATCTCCAGTCTATTTGGAACACTGTCCATGATACAATACTAGATGTGGAAGATCTACCAGGTGGAATTCTCAGCAAGAACATCCCTTATTCAAATTGTTCACATGAGCAAGTCAAGTCAAAAAGCTGAAAACATGAACACGTTATACTCCATCAACATCCTTCACTACTTTGTCTAATTTTAGAAGATTGAAGCTCCCTATGCTGGCTTCTTAAACATGTTCCAGCACCAGCATTTTCTGTCTCATCCATGTATTGTTGCAGTAAATTGTTTTCCCTCCACTTTGTCTCCAGCTGATCCACATAGAAAACCTGTCTGCTATTTCTACCAGCCAAAGGTACTCAAATACCTAAATATATATCCAGGTGCCTTACTAGGATTTCTCATGCACTTGGTTACAACTTCAGATGAATAATTACCCTTCTTCTGCTGCAATTATACTGCCCTGGGAAGTGTTAAAACACAGACTGCCCAGTGAGACATGCTCTGAAACAGCAATCAATTCCACCTCCAGAGAATCTCAGGGCCACACTTAGAAACTCTTCAGCAAGGGCCCTGGAAAACCAAGGTGAGCTGTGATTACCTGGAGTCCCAGGGAACTGAGGGGAAGGCAGGGACTGAGCAAACACCTCCAACTGCTTCTCACTCCAGCCCCCATGGCAAGTGTGGCGAAGCACACTGGTGGAGAGTTTGTAGGAGGGCTTTAAAAGAAATTGAGAAACAATTAGTTGACAGAAAAATCCTTCTGCAGTCCACACTGTCTAACAACTCAAGTTGCTCACTAAGAGAATCACCTCATTTAGAACAACTGAGTTGTAGAACTCCCTGGCTTATCAAATGTATTCACTGCCACCAAAAGAA